TTTCCCACCCAGGCTCAGTTTTTTTACCTTCCTGGGCCCCAGGGAAGCTTCCTGGAAGCAAAAATACCCCCCCTCCCAGGAGGCAAAAAAAAATGGGGAGGGGGTTGCTGCAAAAAAAAAAAGCCACGCCCACCCAGTCACCTGGCCATGCCCACCTAGGCACACCCACAGAACCAGTTGTTCAAAAATTTGAATCCCATCCCTGTAGAACTGTAATGAGGCCTACCAATTATGGTTGCATGTTGCAACGGCCATTAAACCAGACTGCTTTGTTTAACCCCACTGCTCCTCCTCCTGATGAAGCTGTTAAACAAATGTGCGAGTTGTTAAGCAGAATAATGGCTCTCGGAGGGTTGGAGGAATAGTGCAGCCCCAGGCTTTCATTCCAAACTCCTCCCCTGCCCATGGGGTCCCAGGCTTTTCCCTCCCTCCCAGGGTCAGGGTTGTCATCTGGCTGTTTTTCCGGCCAAATTCGAGAAATCTGGCTGTATAGAAATCTGTTTGGCCGTGAAAAAAATCATGTCTCTGCCCAAATATATTTGGCCGTATGAAAGTTGCTTGGCCATGAAATCAAAATTTTGGCCGAATACCGGTTTTCAATACAATATCTTCGCATGAAAATGACTGTCAGATCGTCTGACACCACCAGTCTTTCCCCCCGCCCCGCCACCAAAACAAAAACAAAACCCCACGTCATCAGACAGAACCCATGAGGGAAAAGTAGGCCCGGATGTTCCAGCTGCCGAGGTTGTCATGCAGATGTGGCGTCACTCAGCCTCACAATCTTACAATCCCGCCCCGTTCCTGTTCTCAACCAGCTTTCCATCAGAGGATGCTCCACCGTCTTAGGCTCCACCCATTGTTGCCAAGGAAGTGAGGAATCCCCCTAAAAACCCTTATGCCCTAGCTCCCTGCTCCTCAGGATCGCTGCATTTGGCCCTGAGCTTTCCAAACGGTAGTAGCGGTTATTTGAAGTGAGCTGCCTAGCCTGGATGTAAGTAAAGAAACAGAAATTCCCATGACGTCACGTCACGTCGAATAAAGACTATTTTTTATTATTTGATTGTTTAAAAACAGTTAAAAAAACAAAAAACAATATATCCTCACGTTATATTGCATTAAAAAATTTGGCTGGAAAATTTGGCCGTGAGAGAAAATAATTTGGCCGTATTTTGACTTGAGTTTGGCCGCAGAGCCAAACTGCGATCTGGCAACCCTGCTCCCGGGGTCCCCACAAGCTTTTTCACTCCCACTGGGTTCCTGCAGTCCTTAGGCCTGACTCCCACCCCAAGAGACCTCACAGACTCCTCCTTTTTACCTTTTGAAGATCTCTGAACCTCATATGGGGGAAAATGGACAAGCCACCCATCCCTGGGCCACATGACTATGTCATGGAAGCAACAGTCATTTTCATTGCGCCTGGGATTCATTCCTGGGCCACCTGGTGGACTTGTGGAAGCAGCCGCCATTTTGCCACGGCTGCCTCAGGGCCAAAATGTCGGCTGCTTCTGGGTCATTGTCAGGTGGAAGAGGGAGAAACTGCTGTTTTGCTACCTTAACACTGTGCAGACCACCTTAAGGAATTGTGGGTGCATTGAAAATGACGGCTGCCTCAGGGAGATCTTCAAAATGTAAGTGTATGATGGGTGACTGGTGGCCCAGTGAAAAAAAGCAGTGTAAAATTTCACATGTAGAGGCTCTTCTGCCTTGCAGATGAACCTGATGGAAACAAGCTGTAGGAATATTGAGTTGAGGAGAAAAGGGATTGTGGCTTTGATCACAAGATCTCCAGGTTTATTAGCAACTCGTGCTGGGATCTCCTTTTCTTGGAGGTGCCTGTGATGGCTGTTGGCTGATAGCAGCACCATATTGCTGATGTATTTCTTGCATCCCTCTTGATGGGGGCGATTTAAGGGGGAAACAATACACTGGAAAATGTTTCATTTTTAAAAATGCATTGAGTAAGAATTCTCAATTGCTTTTGAGAAGGAAAAAAATGGGTGTCAGTATCACTATGAACAAGACGCTCAGGGTCACCTCAAACTGCAAGATGTGCAACAAGTTTTAATAATAAATAAATTTAATAAAAAAGCAACATAAAGCCCCTTGCTCTCCACACAGTGGGTTTCTAACACACTACAATTGTTCAGCTAGTTGTAATCTGTCACTTGTGCATTCTGCATCTCTATGACCAATCTGTCTTCCTCAATTTCCTTCCTTCCTCATGATAAATTTAATTGTTTTGAATTTCAATCATACATCAGTCCAGCCACTTTGTGCTTCTGATGATGTGATCTGCATTCTTTGAATAAATTATGGATGAGAGAAATGCTGTGGAGATAGTATTCTTGCACTTCAGCAGAACAAGAGCACACAACAGATATAAACTTAATGTAAACCACTCCAAACTCAATTGCAGGAAGTACAACTTCAGCATCAGAGGTCAATTCTGGAACTCACCACCGGATTCTGTTGTCACTTGCTCAGACCCCTCACTCCTTTATCCTCAAACTAACCTCTATTGACCTCACCCCATTCCTAAGAGGTCTGTAAGGGGTGTGCATAAGTGCACAATCGTGCCTACCGTCTCTGTCCTATTGTCCCCAATTATTAGTTCCTATTTCTTATATTTAAACTTACATTTATTCCTATTCCTATTGCATTGTAATACAAAATGACAAAATAAATAAATAAATAAAATTTGACAAAGTCCACCACAATTTCTTGGTAGGGTAGAACAATGTGGGAGATACAGCATAGCACCATCCGTTGGATTTGCAATTGGCTGACTAACCACACCAATCCTCAATGGAACTGCATCTACATTGAGGGAAGCATGCAGTCAGGTATCTCAAGGTTTGGTCTTGGGCTCAATACATCTTCATAAATGATTTAGATGAAGGGCTAAAAGGGGAACCGATCAAATTTGCAGATGACATCAAGCTTGGGGGGGGGGGGAAGCCACTTTTGAAGATAGGCTCAAAACCCAAAAGGAACTTGACTGACTTGAGATTGGGCCAACAAAATGCAGGCAAATTGGTTGTGAATAGAGGTAGAAGATCGTCATCAGACTTGGGCTGGTGAGTGGACATGGCCAGCACAGGAGCTTGGTGAGTGCGCATTAGCAGACAGTATATGGCAGCAGCCACAGTCTGAGTCTTATTTTTGGGGAAGTGTCCTCTTAAGTGTTTTGCTCAAGCTGCTTGGTAATAAGACTGAAATCTAATTCCTGTGGAGATTGGAAAGGCTGTTCTGAGCAATTCCTCCTCTTAGTGAGATTTAGGCTCTGCAAGAATGTAGATAGAAAGAATATCTCATATCTAGATGTGGTGTAGAAGCAAGGAGGGTGGATGCTTTCAGTTATTGTTCCATGTTTCATTATTCTATTAGTATTCTATTAATAAGATGAAGATGAAATCATGTAGTGGCTGGGCACACAAACAAGATCTTCATAAATTTTTATGGCACAGCACTCTCTAATCTCGAGAAGCAAAGAACGTCTTCAAGTTTGACTCAGGTGCAAAAGTAGGTTTTTAGCAGTTAACCTGCACCCCCACTTTGCTGCTGTTTCCTTGGCAAGATTTTTTGGAAGATTTCCCCTTTCCAAGGCCTGAGAAGAGGGACAGGCCAAGGTCTCCGAGATGGCCTTGTGCTTAAAGCAGGACCAGAAATAAACATTTCCCATGTTCTAAGCTGGTGACATCTCCCATGTTCTAGGCTGGTTCTAGCCTGGTGACGACGAGACCCACAAAATCCCCTTGTGGGATTTTCCCCACAAAATCTATCCATTCAGCTGTTCCTCCTACTCTAGCCTCACATTCAAGGCTGCAGCTTTCAAGATTGAGTATCCTCTAAATCAGCAGTCGCCAATCGGTGGGCCGTGGCCCACCGGTGGGCCTTGAGTAAATTTTGGTGGGCCGCAGAGAAATCTCACCCCCAGAGCAACCACCCCAAAGCAATTAATCCAGGCTGTGCAGAAACACAAGGCTGCGCCGCCCACATTGCCTGCAGGAACGGAGCGTTCGCCCACTCACTCCTTACCCAACAAACTTGCCTGCTAACATTGCTATTTTTCCTTTTTCTGACAATCATCTGTTCTGCTGTGCCAGATTTAGATTAGCTAGGAAGCAGGAAATGGTTGGATTTCTTGCTTTCTAGCTAGTCTTTAGTTCTTCAGCTCTGCTGAACCTCCCTTAGGACTGAAGGTTTGCTTGCAAGCAAATTCAGTGCAAACTCATGGCAAGCAAATTTGAGAGACTGAGCTAGCCGATGGCAGATAGATAGATCACTGAATGATTCTGTGAGCAACTCAATCTGCTTGCTTTGCCTAATTTTGGGTAAAAAATGCTCTTCTTTATATAAAATTCAATATTTACATACATGGTGTGTTGTGAGTTAATTTTGTGAGTTTGCTTGCTAGCAAATTTTACAAGCAAATTTTATTTGACAGACTGAGCTAGCCAATGGCAGATAGATAGATCTCTGAATGAATCTGTGATTCTGTGAGCAACTCAATCTGCCTGCCTGCTTTGCCTGATTTTGGGTAAAGGTTGCTCTTTTTTAATAAAAAATTCAATATTTATATATTTATAATATTTACACATAAGCCATGCCCAGCCAGTCACGACCACCAAGCCACACCCACAAATTAGGCCACGCCCACAGAACCAGTTAGTGGTCCCTGGGATCAAAAATTATGAGTTTGGTGGTCCCTGAGGTCCAAAAGGTTGGCGACCCCTGCTCTAAATAATACATATTTTACACTTTTTAATTTGAACTTCAAACTTTCATTCTGAGGAAATTCTGGGACTGAAAATCTCGAGGACACAAAGTGAGAAGAATGCTGGGACTCTGCATGTGGCTTTTCTATCATTTATCATGATAAAAATGCACAGAACACTCCCAAAATGATTTTTATAGAATTGTACAATTTCTGCAAAATTAAATATCCTGCAACTTCTGCTATTGATGGCCAGATATCAAGCTAATATATCCCAATATTTTCTTTCCTCCTTCCCGTCTAATACGACATATTTGACTACAAAAAAATCAGGCAAATTCTTTGTAGTCAAATTAAAGGGTCAATTTCTCAGCTGGACTTACAATGGAACATTAGAAATAAAATTCAAGACTTCTTTACACTCATCACTGTGGGCCTCATGTGAATTTTCTTATGTGTGATAAGGGTGGAATGTTTTCTGAAACACTGTCTACATTCAGGGCACTTAAACGGTTTTTCCCCTGTGTGTATAAGCACATGATTTATAAGATTAGAGCTAGTACTGAAAGCTTTTCCACAGTCTGGACACTCGTATGGTTTCTCTCCTGTGTGAGTCCTCTGATGTATCACAAGCTGGGAACTCTGACTGAAATTTTTCCCACAATCAGGACATTCAAATGGTTTCTCTCCGGTGTGAGTCCTCTGGTGTGCAATGAGGTAGGATCTCTCACCAAAACTTTTCCCACAATCAGGACATTCAAATGGTTTCTCTCCTGTGTGAGTCTTCTGGTGTTTCACTAGGTTGGAATTCTTACTGAAACTTTTACCACAATCAGGACATTCAAAGGGTTTCTCTCCTGTGTGAGTCCTCTGGTGTATCACCAGGTCATAACTCCGACTGAAACTTTTCCCACAATTAGAACAATCAAAGGGTTTCTCTCCTGTGTGAATCCTCTGGTGTGTCACCAGGTCATAATTCCGACTGAAACTTTTCCCACAATCAGGACATTCAAAGGGTTTCTCTCCTGTGTGAGCCCTCTGGTGTATCACAAGGCTGGAATTGTGACTGAAACTTTTCCCACAAATAGCACATTCAAAGGGTTTCTCTCCTGTGTGAGTCCTCTGGTGCTTCACCAGGCTGTAATTCTCACTGAAACTTTTTCCACAGATAGCACATTCAAAGGGTTTCTCTCCTGTGTGAGTCCTCTGGTGTATCACTAGGTTAGAATTGTGATTGAAACGCTTCCCACAGAAAGGACATTCAAACTGCTTCTTTCCTATGTGAATCCTCTGGTGTCTCACAAGGTGGCAATTCTGACTGAAACTATTCCCACAATCAGGACATTCAAAGGGTTTCTCTCCTGTGTGAATCCTCTGGTGTATCACAAGCTGGGAATTCTGATTGAAACTTTTTCTACAATCAGAACATTCAAACAGTTTTTTTCCTATGTGAGTCCTCTGATGTTTCACCAGGCTGAAATTCTCACTGAAACACTTCCCACAATCAGGACATTCAAAGGGTATCCCTTCTGTGTGAATCCTCTGATGGCTAAGGAGGTGGGAATTTCTAATGAAACTTTTCCCACAATCAGTACATTCAAAAGGTTTCTCTCCTGTGTGAGTCCTCTGGTGTATCACCAGGTTGGAATTTTGATTGAAACATTTTTCACAATCAGGACATTCAAAAGGTTTTTCTCCTGTGTGAGTCCTCTTGTGTCTCACAAGGTGAGAATTTCTAATGAAACTTTTTCCACAATCAGTACATTCAAAAGGTTTCTCTCCTGTGTGAGTCCTTTTGTGTCTCACCAGGTTGGAATTTTGGCTGAAACTTTGTCCACAATCAGGACATTCAAAAGGTTTCTCTCCTGTGTGAGTCCTCTGGTGGGTCACCAGGCTGTAATTGTGACTGAAACTTTTCCCACAGATAGGGCATTCAAAGGGTTTCTCCCCTATGCGAGCCTTCTGTTGTCTCATGAGGTGGGAATTTCCAATGAAACTTTCAAACAATCTGGACACAGATATAGGATGTGAGTCCTCTGATGTATCACCATGTTGCCATGCTCACTAAAGTATTTTCTACATTGGGAACACTTTTATGGATTTTATTCTGTGTGGATCTTCTCATGCATAATCAGCTGTGGTTTGCAATCTGTGCCTTTCCTACAATAGGGGCATCTATGGAGCTTTTCCAACACTAATATTCTTGACAGCAGAAATATCTGTGATTCCCCTTTTAGTGGAGTTTTAATTAAAGCCTTTTTTTTCCTCCCAGAGCGAGGCCTGCATCACAATCTGCCCTGTGTAGCTATCCACCACACTAATTTCCAGATATTTCCCTCTTTTGCAGAATAAAAAATAATCTTCCTTGATTTTTCATGTAATGTATTCTTGAGTTCTGCATAATCTGCTTATTCAAGTTTGAAATCTTTCTTAATTTTCTCTCTTTTGTCTAACAACCTCTGGAGGAGGAGGAGGAGGAGAATTGTGTGAATGAAATGGAAAATATTTTTATTTCTGGCTTGATTTTCTTTCCTTTTCAAAGTTACTTGTTATTATCAGTTGCTCTTATTGTCAGTGTGCTCTTATTTTCAGCTTCTTTGCCTATAGGATTCAAAGAAAAGTATAATGTTCATTGTTTGTGAAGTGGCTGTAGAAGATATGAAAAAAGAAAAAATTATTCGGTACAACAAAAAAGCGAACATACCACAATGCTAAAATAACCTCTTAAATTAATCATGATTCATTTTATACATGAAAGATTACCCAGATTCAGGTTCAAATATCCATTCAATCATGAAATTCCCTAGTTAATTTGGGTCAATCACAAATTCTTAGCACTACAAAGGCTTATCACCAAATATATCTGAAAATGCTCAGTATAGATTATTCTAATTGCAGACATATGCTCACAGAGAGAAATACAGATACAGACACCTACAAATACATAAAAGTCAAAAATCCATGTCTTTCAAGCCTGAAAAAATATTCCGAAATGGTTAGTTAAACCTGAGATAATTATAGAAACGTGGGGTTTTAATTGATGAAATGAGGGCTCTGCCAAATTTGAAGCACCCATTTTGCTCATGGAAGTCCTCGGCTCCAAATATGGGCAGAAAATACTGTCTACAACTCCTCTGGTGACATCCCAATTCAAGCAGTCCTCACTTATTGACCACAATTGGGACTGGTATCTGGACACTAAGCAGTCCAATCATAAGCATGTTGTCACATGAGACTGCCAACTTATATCTGTGCAGTTGTTAAATCACTGTGGGTTGTTAAAGGCAGTTTCACATGACATTACGCCCTTTTCAGAAAATCTAAATAGGCTATACTGAATTACCTTTGGCGGGGAGGATGAAATATTTGTACGTCATTGTGGATCATTTGACTAGATGGGTGGAAGCATTCCCTTATGTAAATGCAAATAAATGTCTTCCCTTGGCATTGCTGAGAATACAAACTCAACCTAGAAAAGATGTGGGAATATCACCATATGAAATGTTGTTTGGGGTACCATATATGGGGAGGGAAGGCTTTACCAAGAATTGAATTAAAAGACAAAATAGTTAGAAAATAAGTACAAGAACTGCCCAGATGTTTTTCTCTTTTGCGACAGAAAGGCATTCTTGCACAAACATTCTTGGCTGAGGAATTCTGGGAGTTGAAGTCTGCAAGTCTTAAAGTTGCCAAGTTTGGGGACCCCTGGTTTAGCTTATAGTATTGTTTAAAATAATAAGGGGAAGTTGGGAGGGCTTTGTGTAGGGGATATAAATGTATAGCTTGAATATGGGATTTTGCGCTTCATGATCTCAATCCACTTTGGGAAGGGACGAGAAGGCCTGCCTTTGCAAACACATTTTTAATCTTTGTACATCAGAATTGTCTGTCGAATTTGTGAGTATAAATTTTGGAACATTTTAAATCTCACTAACAATTGTTCATCAACAATTTCAATGAGGGAATAAAAGGAGAACTCCTCAAATTTGGAGATGACACTAAGTTGGCAGGAATAGCCAATACCTCAGAAGATAAGTTCAAGATATAGAAGAATCTCGATAGATTTCAACACTGGGCACTATCTAACAAAATGAATCAATGGAGAAAAAAATGTTTTACACTTAGCCAAGAAAAAGCAAATGTAAAAGTACAAAATAGGTACAACCTGGCTCAACAGCAGTAACTTCAAGATGAACCTTGAAATCCTAGTGGACAATCACTTAAATATGACCCAATAGTGTGATGCAATGGCCAAAAAAGCCAAGACAATCCTAGGCTGCCTAAACAGAGTGATAGAATCAAGATCACATGAAGTGCTAATACCAATTTATAAGGCTTTGGTAACACCACACTTGGAATACTGCATCCAGTTTTGATCACCATAATATAAAAAGGGCGTTCAGACTCTATAAAGAGGCCAGAGAAGAACAGTGAGGATGATTTTTGGGGGCGGGGGATGAGGAGAGGCTGGAGACTAAACATATAAAGAAGGGTTGCAGGAATTGGGTATGTCTAGTCTAGTGAAAAGAAGAACTAGGGGTGCCATGATAGGATGAGGTGGGTTAACCTCCAAAGCCCCTGAAAGCAGAACAAGAAACTGGATGGAAACTAAGCAAGGAGATAAGCTGTCTAGAACTGAGAAATTTCCTGACACCAAGAACAGTTAACCAGTGGAACAGTTTGCCTTCAGACGTTGTGGGTGCTCCATCACTGGAGGCTTTGAAACAGATACCGGACAGCCATTTGTCTGAAATGCTTGAACAGGAGGTTGGAACAAATGATATTGGGTCTCCTGTTTGGAACAGAAGACCTCCAAGGTTCTTTCCAGTTGTGTTACTCTGTTACAAACCTCCAGTGACGGAGCACCCACAACCTCTGGAGGGGAGTGATCCCCAAAGCTTCAACCCTGTCTTGAAAGAGACTTTTTTTAAAAAAAAAAATCTTCCCGCCAGCAGAAAATTGCAGCCACCAGTTTTAACAGCGTGCAATACCAAAGGGCTTAAATTTGGGGAGGGAAGCAACCGGCAGCACCAGCTTCCAGGCGGTGGAGGAAACCCCAACAGCACTACTTGCTTCCGGATCCTTCTCTAACCTGTCCTCATCTTACCTGGCAGCCGCTGCTTCAAGCCGGGGAACAGCCCAACAACCAAACTTCGCACCACCTACCGCCCCATGAGTGATTAAGCAGAGGAAATTCCTCTGCGCTTCTTCTCTCCTCCCATCCTTTCTAGCAATGCGGTACTCGATGGTTTTAACGCCTTTATTATGTATTATGCGCTTTTCAGGCACAAATGTTGCCTATCCCAAGGGGTTTTTAACCTTCGTAACTTTCAGACTTGTGGACTTCAACTCCCAGAATTCCTCAGACAGCTTGGCTGGCTGAGGAACTCTGGGAGTTGAAGTCCACAAGTCTTTTAAAAGTTGCCAAGGTTTGGAGATCCCTGGCCTATTCGACTGCCATCTTCTGATAGCAAGGCAGAAAAATATGTCTTTTGCAAGATGTTTTCGCTGATTAAATGCTATCAAATCGTTACGAACTTCTAGCAACTGGCTTTTGCAACTGAGCCAAATGAAATAATAAGCTGCTACTCAGCTTACTGAGATTAGCTCCATGCTTGCTGAGTCCTAAAAATTCATGAAGGTTTTATAGAATTACATAATCAGCTTTCTTAGGGGTGTGACTCTCAGTGGAAGTCAAAGCCTCTCTACATCCAAAAACTTAAAAAGAGTGATTTCCTGTGCCTCTCAAGGATTTAGGACATTGGCAGCACCAGGCTAGATGCTCCAGGGAAGAGAGCTTCACTCCTGCTGGTCAAAGCTGTTTCCAAAAGCACCAACCACAAATTGTCATTCCTCGAGGAATTTTTTTTTAAATATCTGCTAAATGCCAAAGGCCATATATTTCTGTAAATTTGCTTGCACTGAGGTCTCCATTTAAGTCACAGAGAGAAAAATATGCAGCAAAGCCTAGAAAATGGAGCCTAAGAAAGAGGGGCTGATTGCCTATATATGGTGGAAGAAATGTTTCCAAAAAAATGTAAAAAAACAAAGGCCAAAAGTAGACTAGCCCATTAAAGACACAGCTAGGCTAACCTTTTTAGAAGGATACGTTACAAAGCCTTTTTTAATGCAGATTTAATAAGATATGGGTGGTATGAATAGTGGCTATTGGTTCTGGGCTCTATTGTGTGGAAGAATCTGGAATAAAATAACTCCAACATTTTATTGATTTCCTTTTCATTCAGGAACTTAAGGTGGCATACAAAGCACTTCCTGGGTAGCATTTTGTAATTTACAGAGTAAATGTCCTCCAGCCTGCACAACCTTACCGATACATACTTTGGGCCTCTCAATATTCCATAGTGTATGCTTAACCTAACACTGAATTAGAACTCATGGCTTTCCATCCAGTGTTCTTGAGGATGTTTGGGTTTGGTGCCTTTTAAGTCAGTCAACTCAAGCAGTTTCCCCCTATGCTGCTGATAGGCCTGGCCAAAGCTGAACTCAGTATTTCCAGTCCGTCCTTAAGGCACTTTAAGGCAGGACTGGAACTGAGTATTTCCCAGTCTCTAACCTAGTGCCCTCACCACTACACCAACCTGGTTCATCATCTTCCCCACAAAATCTACCCATTGAGCTGTTCGTGCTACTCCAACAGTCCAACATCTTTGCAATTGGCTCATCCTTACCCTCCAGACAACTAACGTCTTTCAATCTGAGTGTCAGCCTCCAAGAATCCTTCTTCTGATTGTCTTTCCAGCTGCCATAGAAACAGGCAGGGAAGAATAATTGGGCTGGGGGCGGAAGGGTTGTTGGGGGTTTAAGTAGATGAAATGTAAAAGTTGTGATGCTTACTTGCTTACTGTGCAGATGTAACCTCTTATCTCTGTAAGGCAAGGTCAACCGTCTTGGCATACCAGTGTGAAACATCACCTGAAGATGCCCCACATGACATTACACACATCTCAGACTGGATGGCCGGTTTGAACTGTTGTGGGGGTGGAAACACGGGGCAACTTTCTATGTATGATTTTTTCACACCTATTGCCTCAGATTTTGTATTCTTCTGATGCTACCACTTCAATTTTAAGTAAAAGTCCTTTTCTCTACAACAATGGAGTCTGGGGTTTTCTTTCTTGGATTTTGAATGGAGTCTCACCTGACACTGAGCTTCAGACTTCTGAAATGGGAGTATTCCTGTGTGGGCTGGGGACGTCTGGCCTGGACCTCTGTGGCATTTGGGCTGCCTTTTAATTTGCTCAAGTTTGTTAGAGACATCATGTTAGTAAGTTTTGGGAGTCTAATTTATATTTTTATTGTAAAGAGGGGTTTTGTTGTTGTTGGGTATTCTATTGGAAGAAAAATCCAATCCCGTTCCAACCTGGTGCAAAGGCGCTGGAAATAAAATAGAGGTTGCTTAGAAAGGAAGGTTGTTTATTGACGAACAGAACTACCTACAGCATGTGGTTCTGGGACAACTGACAACTTAACTGGATGAGTGCAAGGATTTTTAGTTTCTGAAATGCTGTAGGAGTTGTGCAATGTAGTGAGCCTGGTGTCTTTTGCTGTTCTAATGCTGGCGGGTTAATCCTATTATGGCCTAAAGGTCATGTGCTGCTCTTAGAATTTGGGTAGAGGGGGATGTAAATTTAATCCCATCGCTAGAAGTGAAGGTGTTTTGTTTGTGAATAGGCTGGCTAAGTCTTTCTCAATGGGCACAAAATAGCCATCTCTAAAGACTTCAGGAATCTGCTGGGAGCTATTAAGAAAGACTGAGGCTGCTTTCTGCCTTTAAGAACATGTTTCTCCATTTTTCCCTTGGAGAAATATAATATTCTGCCTTTTAATATTCGCCAAAATATTTCATTCTTCTAGGAGGGGGGCATCCCACACTCCTACTTCTCTCATGTTAGTTTTAATGTGTCTTCTTTTTATTTTGTAATTCATTTAATATTTCTGCTCTGAACTTAATCCTTAATCATGACATAAACTATTATTTTTATGCAGAGATTCATACCTGTGGTTGGAAGTTAAAACCAACTCCTCTCCTAGGAAAATGATATAGTTTAGGATATACTAAAAAGGCAGAATATTTCCCCTAAAAAGAAAAGTAGAAACTCAAGAGACAGAAATTCACCCCCTCCCCTTTGCTAATAAGTTATTACTCTGGCCTGGGCCAGTCTATTTTACATAACAAAGACCTACTCCAGGTAAGAGCCATAATAGGGAATTGCCCAAAGCCCTTTCATTACATCATCATCCACCAAGGGTCAACTCTGTAGGACAGCCTACAGAGTTGCCCCTGCATGGCCCCATGGGAGCCCGACAACCAATCAGAATATGAGCTCAAAATCAAATCCCAACAAAGGGCACAAAACCATCTTTCCCCTTTTTCTTCACCCAAGGCATGTGATCCTGTCCACCATTAAACCATCTTTCCAAGCAGTCACCGTGTTTCCAGTATCTTTCTTCCCCACTTGGAACTGAACCCAGGATATTTCTTCCAATATACCCATTGCCTCGCTTTCTTGCCTTCTGCAGCTTTGATTGTGTGCATCAGACATCTCCAAGAAAAGAAAAAAATGCACTCTTTGCAATGAACTCTTGCAGCAGCCAGTAAAGCCACAAATGCCTTCAAGTTCTTCTTGTCCCTGTCTTAAGTGTCCAACTTTATTCTCCAAAGAAATAAGAAACCCATGGATAATATATATAATTTGTCCTCACTGGGATGGATTCTAAGCATTGCTTTAGATTAGAATGCACAATTACGCACTACAGTAAAGACTTGTCAAAGATTCAGAGGCTTTGGCCATTTCAAGGGTTTTTTAAAATATTCTTAATTATGAGACATGATGAAAGCTATGGGGGGGAAAAGAGACACCAAAAATGAATGAAACATTAAATATAATTTTAATGTTTTAAAAATTAGAGACTTTCAACATGTTTAAGTTGGAAACTACCTGGAGCTGCAGGCTCAGGCCAAAAGAGGTTCTTGATTCCTCCTCATCCCTGACCTGGTGTCCTTTTGCAGAGGGGTCCTATGCAAAGTGATCCACTAGAAACAAAAATTATAACCAGTCCTCTGAATCGTGTTGGTGAAATGAGCAAACCTGCAATTCTTTGGTGTCTCCTAAACTCAGCAAAATCAGAATTATTCATTTCCATAGCGAAAATTCCAGTTTTCTGCTCCAATGATTGTTCCTCTCTTTACTTGTAGGGATTATTTGGAAAATTTTAAAAAGCCCTGAGGAACGAAAGAAATGGAACCAATCTTCCGTGTGTTGGGAAGACAGCTTTACATTATCTTACCCCAAATTCATAGCAATGCTGACAATACCCATTTCTTTCATTCTCAAAAGCTATTTAAACAGCCACACAATGCTCTTTGTAGTAATGAAACATCTTCTACCATATAATTTATTTCTTACAGCTCCAACACCAAGGCATTTGCAACAGATTTGACAGCATTTTGACGCTGTTACCATTGGGGTAACAAGCAGGCACCTCCAAGAAAAGATCCCGGCAGGGATTGTTAACGAACCTAAGAACTCTGTATTCAAAACCACAATGTTTTTTTCTGCTAAAGCTACAACCTCTGTGCTTATTTTTTTACAATGTATTTTTTTAGAAGCTTCAGCAGCTTACTGGAACCACTCAGAAAGGTTACTTATGACTCACAGACATTTTGTACAAAGGATATGCTGGCTGGGAAATTGTGGCCTCAAAATCTGAAAAACACCCAGAGTGCAGAACACTGAAATTCTGCATGTTGCGTTTCTATGTTCTATAATGTTCAATTTGCAAATTGCACCATTTGTATTAATGTAAACATAGTCACTTCTGCAGATGGCCAGATATGTATTGTTTACCTTTATCAAACTAACATTTTCCATTTTTTCTCACTCATCCTTAATGTCTCATAAGACATTTGACTAACAAGAATCAGGCCAATTAATTGTTCATTTTGACTTCCAATAGGACACCAGAAATGAATTTCAAGACTTCTCTAAACTTATCTCCTGCATCATGTGAACTTTCTTGTGCACAGTAAGGGAGGAACTGTTTGTGAAACACCGTCCACAGTCCAGGCATTTGAATGGTTTCTCCCCTGTGTGTATACCTACATGATTTATAAGACCAGACTTGGTACTAAAATCTTTCCCACAATCTGGACACTCATATGGTTTCTCTCCGGTGTGACTTCTCTGGTGTATCACCAAATCTGAATTCCGGAGGAAACTTTTCCCACAATCTGCACATTCATATGGTCTCTCTCCTTTGTGAATCTTCTTGTGTATCATCAGATGAGAATTCTGACTGAAACTTTTTCCACAATCTGCACACTCATATGGTTTCTCTCCTGTGTGAGTTCTCTGGTGTATTGCCAGGCTGGAATTTCGACTGAAATTTTTCCCACAATCTGGACATTCATAAGGTTTCTCTCCTGTGTGAGCCCTCTGGTGTCTCACTAAACCAGAATTCTGACTGAAACTTATTCCACAATCTGGACACTCATACGGTTTCTCTCCCGTGTGAATCTTCTGGTGTATCATCAGGTGGGAATTCCGACGAAATTTTTTTCCACAAACCAGACATTCATATGGTTTCTCTCCTGTGTGAGTCCTTTGGTGTCTCACCAAATCAGAATTCTGACTGAAACTTATTCCACAATCTGGACACTCATACTGTTTCTCTCCTGTGTGAATCTTCTGGTGTATCATCAGGTTGTAATTCCGACGAAATTTTTTTCCACAAACCAGACATTCAAATGGTTTCTCTACTGTGTGTGTTTTCTGGTGTTTCACCAGGCTGAAATTCTCACTGAAACATTTCCCACAATCAGGACATTCAAAGGGTATCCCTTCTGTGTGAATCCTCTGATGGCTAAGGAGGTGGGAATTTCTAATGAAACTTTTCCCACAATGAGTACATTCAAAGGGTTTCTCTCCTGTGTGAGTCCTCTGGTGTATCACCAGGTTGGAATTTTGATTGAAACATTTTTCACAATCAGGACATTCAAAAGGTTTTTCTCCTGTGTGAGTTCTCTGGTGTGTCACGAGGTGGGAATTTCTAATGAAACTTTTTCCACAATCAGGACATTCAAACAGTTTCTCTCCTGCATGTGTTTTCTGGTGGCTAATAAGGTTGGAATTTTGACTAAAACCTTTACCACAATCAGGACATTCAAACAGTTTCTCCCTTGTGTGAGTCCTTTTGTGTCTCACTAGGTTGGAATTTTGACTGAAACTTTTTCCACAATCAGGACATTCAAAAGGTTTCTCTCCTGTGTGAGTCCTCTGGTGGTTCACCAGGCTGTAATTGTGACTGAAACTTTTCCCACAGATAGGGCACTCAAAGAGTTTCTCCCCTATGCGAGTTCTCTGTTGTCTCATAAGGTGGGAATTTCCAATGAAACTTTTACACAATCTGGACACAGATATAGGATGTGAGTCCTCTGATGTATCACCATGTTGCCATGCTCACTAAAGTATTTTCTACATTGGGAACACTTTTATGGATTTTATTCTGTGTGGATCTTCTCGTGCATAATCAGCTGTGGTTTGCAATCTGTGTTTTTCCCACAATAGGGGCATCTATGGAGCTTTTCCAACACTAATATTCTTGACAGCAAAAATATCTGTGATCCTCCTTTCAGTGGAGTTTTGATTAAAGCCTTTTTCTTCCTCCCAGAGCGAGGCCTGCATCACAATCTGGCCTATGTAGCTATCCAATTGACCCTTTCCACCACACTAATTTCCAGATATTTCCCTCTTTTGCCGAATAAAAAATAATCTTCCTTGACTTTTCATGAAATTATGCTTGAGTTCTGCATAATCTGCTTATTCCAGTTTGAAATCTTTCTTAATTTTCTCTCTTTTGTCTATCTACTGCTGGAGAAGGAGAATTGCGTGGTTTTCTGAAGGAAATGGAAAATATTTTTATTTCTGGCTTGATTTTCTTTCCTTTTCAAAGTTGCTTGTTATTATCAATGGCTCTTATTGTCAGTGTGCTCTTATTTTCAGCTTCTTTGCCTATAGGATTCAAAGAAAAGTGCAATGTTAATTGTTAATAAAAAAAACAATTGTAGATATGAAAAAAAGTTATACATTACAACAAAAAAGCAAACATGCCACAATGCTAGAATAACTTCTTACATTAATCCTGATTGATTTGACACCTGGAAGACTGTTACGATGCAAATTCAAATATCCATTCACTCATGAACTTCTTTTGTTGATTTGGGTCAATCACAAATTCTTAGCACTGCAAAGGCTTATCACCAAATATATCTGAAAATGCTCGGTATAGATTATTCTAATGGCAGATATATGCTCACAAAGAGAAATACAGATACAGACACCTACAAATAAATAAAAGTCAAAAATCCATGTCTTTCAAGCCTGAAAAAATATTCCAGAATAGTTAGTTAAACCTTTTGAGATAATTTTAGAAATGTGGGGCTTTGATTGATGAAATAATGTCTCTGCAAGATTTGAAGCACCTGTTTTGCTCATAGAAGTCCTCAGTTCCAAATATGGGCAGAAGATACTGGTGATCACCACAATATTGGGAATTGGGATATCACTCCTCTGGTGATATCCCAATTCAAGCAGTCCTCACTTATTGACCACAATTGGGACTGGTACCTGGACACTAAGCAGTCCAATCATGAGCATGTTGTCACATGAGACTGTCAACTTACACCTGTTCCTCTGCAGTTGTTACTCAAATTACTGTGGGTTGTTAAAGGCAATTTCACATGACTGTGGCTTGCAAATTCCTGCCGGTATCTCCACTGATTTGTTTGTCAGAAGCTAGCTGGGAAGGAAGGGGTCAATCTATTTTCTAAAGCGCCTGTGGGCCAGACAAGGAATAATGGATGGAAACTGAACAAGGAGAGATTCAACCTGGAAATAAGGAGAAACTTTCTGACAGCGAGAACAATCAACCAATAGAACAGCTTGCCCTCGGAAGTTGTGGAAGCGCCATCCCTTGAGACTTTCAAGAAGAGATTGGACTGCCATTTGTCAGAAATGGTGTAGAGTCTCCCATTTGGGTGGGGGATTGGACTAGATCAGTGGTCTCCAACCTTTTTTGTACCAGGGACCAGTTTCACGCAGAAACACTTTTTCAAGGACTGGTTAGAGCTTTTTTTATTTTTATTTTTTATTTTATTTACTATTACACTATAATATCAACTCACCAAAATGGAGAATCAGTGGGAGCTCTGGGCTTGTTTTCATGCAACTAGACGGTTCCATCTGGGGGTGATGGGAGACAGTGACACTCGAATTGTATTCCTTATATCCAGTCTACTCCGTGGTCTTTGCTGTCAATGCAGAAAACCCCGCCTCACAAAGATAAGAGGTTGAAAATGGAAGCAGGACTTTCAGTGCTTTTGTGGCAATGTCAGGATGTTCTGCTTTGACTTTACTCCAGAATGCAAAGAGATTTGAAGTTGTTTCAAAGATGGATTTAAGGCCACCATCATTTGCAATTTCAACTAGTTGCTCCTCTTCTTGTAGGGTTAAAGTTGATTCCCCTGGCTTGTTCACAAATGGGTTCCGGATCCATTCCTTCCCCAGCCTTGCGATGGGGAAGTAATGCTCAAACTCTTTTGAAAGCTGCAACAGGTGATCATGCACTAACTGGGTGAACGAAGGTCCAAACTCAGTCTCTTCCATAATCCCTGCTACTATGTGAAACATGTCAAATATCCCTGTGTTCACTCTCCATCTCCATAACTCCAGTTTGGCTTTGAATGCTGCAACCTTATCTGCCAACTTGAAAACGGTTGTCATTTTCCCCTGAAGTGAGAGATTTGAGTTCACTGAGCAGGTTAAAAATGTCACACAGGTAAGCAAGTTTCAAGATCCAATCAGCGTCACTGAAGTATGCTGCCAGTGGTGACTGTTTTTCCAAGTAAAATCTCTGCAGTGACTCTCTTAACTCAAAAACTCTTGCCAGTGATTTACCTCTTGAAAGTTATCTCACTTCTGTGTACAAGAGGAGGCGTCTATGTTCTGCATCCATCTCTTCACAGAGCTGTTTGAACAGACGTGAATTCAGGGCATGTACTTTTATGTGGTTAATAATTTGTATCACAGCTTGCAAAACGCTGTTAAGCTCAGGTGGCATTTTTCGGCTTGCCAGCATTTCGCTACGGATGACACAGTGTGTGGACTCACATTCAGAGGCGACCTCCTTGATCCGCGTTGTCAGACCTGAAAGCCGCCCAGTCATCGCAGCCGCTCCGTCTGTGCATACACCGACACAGTGCGACCAATTAAGCCTCCCTGATATGTACTCATTCAAGGACATGAATAACTCTGCAGCTGTGGTGTTAGTTGGCCGAAACAGTGAGCATAGCAAATCCTCATGTACATCCTGAAAAATGTATCTCACAAAAACGAGCAATATTGCTTTGCTGTCAACATCTGTAGATTCATCCACCTGAATCGCGTACCATGGTGACTCATTAATCCTCTCAAGTAACTGTGCCTCGATGTCCTCTGCTATTTCATTCATTGTTGTTACGGTGCTCGCTGAAAGGGGGATGTTTTCAACCTTTTTCACTGCAGCCTCTCCGAAAAGTTCACCGCAAATGTCCTTTGTAGCAGGCAAAATCAATTCTTCCCCAATAGTAGAGGGCTTCTTAGCTTTAGCAATGCGGTCCGCAACCAGGAATGATGCTTTTAGCACGGACACATTTGTTGAAGTAGTGGCCTTCAATAATTGTTTCTGTCCTTCATTTTCCCGTTTTTTTCTTTCAAAATATTCTAAGGGCTTTTCTTTCAATGCTGGGTGTTTTGTCTCCAGGTGGCGGTGCAGTTTTGATGGTTTCATGCCTTCATTAGTAATTCTGTCACCGCATATTACACAGAGTGGGTGGGGGGCTTGTGAATCACCTGTTGCGATGAACCCGTAACTCAGGTAGGAATCTTGGTATTTTCTTTTAAATGCCGCTTTCTTTTTGCAGGCAGTCTGTGACCCGTCTGCTGTCTCATCGTTGTCTCGTTTACCCTTTCCAAAAAAGCTCTCCAGTGAACTCTGTTTCTGGCTCATTTTGCAAGGGCTAGCTTGCTAGATGAGATTAGCTAGATTGATAGCAAGAGGTGTAGAGTTGTAATTGCAGGAATGTTCTTATCTTGGATGGCAAACCAATGGGGAAAATGTATTAGAATCTTCCAGTGGCAATAACATAGACTTTAACTAGAGATAATTAATTGTAATAATTACTATGCTAAACAGTAATGAAAGTTAAGCAATAACCAAAGTTAACCAATGTTGGAGGATTACTAAAAATGTGTATAAATGCAAGACTAGACTCCAATAAAGTCATCATGATTCAGTTGATGATGATCAAACAAAAATATATGTTTGGCAAAATATGTTTTCTCCAAAAGCGTTTTGTAAGGTAATAATCTGCAATTCAGATTTTACATTTAGGATGGGTTTGATCTCCCATATGGTCTTCAGCTTTCCACAATCTCAACAATTGTAAGGTGTGTGGGGAATTCAGAGAGTCCAAGTCCATACATTTTAAAGATTTGTCATATATATATAGTAGGGGTTGGACTAAACATATGTAAGTGCTAAGAAACCCTTTGCCTATCCAGTGTTTTCAACTCCAGCAATTTTAAGATTATGTGGACTTCAACTCCCCAAATTACCCAGACAGCATTCCGGACTTCTTAAAATTGAGAAACACTGCTCTTCACTTTAAATACACTAAATGTTAAACAGATAGCTACACTTTCCCACTCATCCCCACACATTCCCCTTCTTCCAAAATATCTACAGCCCAAATATTTTGGGCTGTAGATATTTTGCGATCCCATTCTAGTGGGATCTGGATGCCACAAAATGGATGCTGGTAGACCGCCATTCTTCTTGGTTCATTTGATCATGATATGGAGACAATATTCCACTCATTGAAAAGCTAGTTATGACTTAATTATAATCAAAGTTGGATTGGATTTAATAATCATGGTTCATGTATATGTTTTAGATACTGCTCCCCCCCACACACATTTCCTTCTTTCGGAATATTTTAAAGTGTTAAAGTTGTTGAGGTTCAGAAATGCAGGCATATAAGGAATTCTGGGGATTCATTCCAAATACCCGGAGAGCCTTCTTCTTTCCGGATCACTCTCGCCCCATTTCGCTGCAACCCCTTGCCCTCACCTAGTTTTAAGAGAATATCCAGTTTGGCTCCCTGCTGCCCCCATTGCTCTGTTCTGGCTTACCCACTTCGAGATATAACAGCCCCTTTCCCAAACACTGGAAAGCCACCTGAGTGACCTGTAAGCCGCCTGTCGGTGAGGCGATCGAAGAACAGGTTCACCAGAGCCTTGACCAGGTCGCTGGCCGCTTCCGAAGAGGGCGAGGGCAGTTCGTTCAGGCTGGGATCCAGGTAATCGGCGGCGGCGTAGCCTCCCTTCACCAGCGCCTTGCAGAACTCCTGGCATAAGCCCGGTGAATCGGGAGCCTCCTTCTTCACCAGGGACAGCAGCTTCTCCGCGGCTACCACGTCCCCCTTTTCTCCAGCCATGCACGGCGTGGAGCTGATGTTTTTGGTCGAGGCTGAGGGACAGCATCAAAACCAGCACTTGATCCAGCACGTCGGAACAAGATGGCGCCCAAGCAAAGTAGGTGGCCCAGTCCAAAATGATCCACAGACCGGTCTGGTGGTTAGGGACCCCTGGACCAAGCAAAGTAGGCAGCCCGGTCCAAAATGATCCACGGACCGGTACGGGTCCGGGGATCAGTGGTTGGGCACCCCTGGACTAGATGACCTACAAGGTCCCTTCCAACTCTGATTATCTGTTATCAATTCACCAGTGGAACTGTTTGCCTTCAGATGTTGTGGGTGCTGCATCACTGGAGGCTTTGTAATAGAGACTGGACAGCCCTTCGTCTGAAATGATATAAAGACCTCCAAGGTTCTTTCTCTGTTACAAACCTCCAGTGACGGAGCCCCCATAACCTCTGGAGGGGAGCCATTCCCAAAGGATCCACATTCACTTGAAAGAGGCTTTTTAGATCTTCCCCCCAGTAGAGAATCGCAGCCACCAGTTTCACAGCCTGCAGCCCCAGCGGGCTCCGATCTGGGGAGGGAAGGAACCTGCAGCTGACACGCTTCGGCCCAGTTGCTTCTCTGCTTCCAGGCCGTGGAGGGAACCGAACAGCCCGACTTGCTCCCGGACTCTCCTCCCACCTGCTGCCCCCAACTCACCTGCTAGCTGCTGCTTCCATCCTGGGAAGAGCACAGAAGCCGCTCTGCACACCACCTTCCTCCCATGAGCGATCCGGAAGTTTCCCTGCGCTTCTCCTTTCATCCTTTCTAGCAATACGGTGCTCGATGGTTTTAACTCCTTTATTATGTATTAGGCACTTTTCAGGGCACGAACGCTGCCCTCTCTGACTGCCAGCTCACACTAGGAGGCAAAAGAACGCGCTTGTCCCGTCTCAACCTAAAGCATCTGCAAGATGTTTTCACTGATTAAATGCTACGTTTTTGACTTCTAGCAACCGACCTTTGCAACTGAGCCCAGTGAAATAGTGAAATGTGATTCTATGCATCTTACGATTAGCTACGTGCGGAGCCCTAAAAGTTCGTGAAGATTTTACAGAATTACACAGTCAGCTTTCTTAAGGTTGGTGGAGATCAAAACTTCTCTATATTCCAAAACTTCAAGACCGATTGCCTGTGGCTCCCATGGCCGCACCATCTTAAGGGAGCTAACTTTACTCCTACTGGCCGGGGTTGCATCCAAAAGCACCCAGCATGCCATGCTACGTATGTTATGTTGGTTGACCACATGCACACTTCAAACCCAAGAATACAGTAAGGCAGAAGCTTGTCCATCCCAAGGATAAAACACTCAGACACAAACTGAGTGACGAATATGCAATACAATGCAGTGAACCATGTGCAGATCTGTACATTGGGAAAACCAAACAACCAGTTCATTAGCACATGGCACAACATAGAACAAACCCATTAGGACTAGATTCACCAGTCCAGCTGCATTTACTCCTTTGGGGAAATATAATATTCTGCCTCTCTTAATATTCCTCAAAATAGTTCATTCTTCTAGGAGTGAGGTTTCCCATACTCCTATTTCTCTCATGTTAGTTTTAATGGGTCTTCTTTCTATTTTGTAATTCACTTAATATTTCTGCTCTTAATCCTTAATCATGACATCAACTATTATTTTCATGCCCAGATTCATACCCATTGCCTCCCTTTCTTGCCTTCTGGGGCTTTGATTGTGTGCATCAGACATCTCCAAGAAAGAAAGAAAAAAGCACTCTTTGCAATGCACTCTTGCAGTAGCCAGTAAAGCCACAAACTCCTTCAAGTTCTTCTTGTCCCTGTCTTAAGTGTCCAACTTTATTCTCCAAAGAAATAAGAAACCCATGGATAATATATATAATTTGTCCTCACTGGGATGGATTCTAAGCATTGCTTTAGATTAGAATGCACAATTACGCACTACAGTAAAGCCTTGTCAAAGATTCAGAGGCTTTGGCCATTTCAAGGGTTTTTTTAAATATTCTTAACCATAATGAGACGTGACGAAAGCTATGGGGGGAAAAAGAGACATCCAAAATGAATGAAACATTAAATATAATTTTAATGTTTTAAAAATTAGATTTTCGACATGTTTAAATTTGAAACTACTTGGAGCTGCAGGCTCAGGCCAAAAGAGGTTTTTGGTTCCTCCTCACCCTTGACCTGGTTGTGGGTGTCCTTTTGCAGAGGTATCCTATGCAAAGCGACCCATTAGAAAAAAAATTATAACCAGTCCTCTGAATCATGTTAGTGAAATGAACAACCCTGCAAGTCTTTGGTGTCTCCTAAACTCAGCAAAATCAGGATCATTCATTTCCATAGCTAAAATTTGTGCTCATGTAAACATAGTTACTTCTGCTGGTGGCCAGATATGTATTGTTTACCTTTATCAAACTAACATTTTCCATTTTTTTCTCACTCATCCTTGATGTCTCATGAGACACTTGACTAACAAGAATCAAGTCACAGAGTCAGGAATCAGTTGTTTATCCTGACTTCCAATAGGACACCAGAAATGAATTTCAAGACTTCTCTAAACTTATCATCTCCTGCATCATGTGAATTTTCCTGTGCGCAGTAAGGGAGGAATTTTTTGTGAAAGACCGTCCACAGTCCAGGCATTTGAATGGTTTCTCCCCTGTATGTATACCTACATGATTTATAAGACCAGACCTAGTACTAAAATCTTTCCCACAATCTGGACACTCATATGGTTTCTCTCCTGTGTGACTTCTCTGGTGTATCACCAGATCTGAATTCCGGAGGAAACTTTTCCCGCAAGCTGTACATTCATGTGGTTTCTCTCCTTTGTGAATCTTCTTGTGTGTCATCAGATGAGAATTCTGACTGAAACTTTTCCCACAATCTGCACACTCATATGCTTTTTCTCCTGTGTGAGTCCTCTGGTGTATTGCCAGGCTGGAATTTCGACTGAAATTTTTCCCACAATCTGGACATTCATATGGTTTCTCTCCTGTATGAGTCCTCTGGTGTCTCACCAAATCAGAATTCTGACTGAAACTTATTCCGCAAACTGGGCACTCATACGGTTTCTCTCCTGTGTGAATCTTCTGGTGTATCATCAGGTGGGAATTCCGACGAAATTTTTTTCCACAAACCGGACATTCATATGGTTTCTCTCCTGTGTGTGTTGCCTGGTGTATCACCAGGTTGGAATTCTGACTGAAACTTTTTCCACAATCTGGACACTCATATGGTTTCTCTCCTGTGTGAGTCCTCTGGTGTATCACCAGTTCAAAATTCCGATTGAAACTTTTCCCACAAACCAGACACTTATAAGGTTTCTCCCCTGTATGAATCCTCTTGTGTATCGCCAGGTAGGAATTCTGACTGAAACCTTTCCCACAATCTGGACACTCAAACCGTTTCTCCACAGTGTGAATCCTCTGGTGTATTATCAGCTTGCCCTGTTCACTGTAGTTTTTGCCGCATCTGGAGCACTGGTAGGACTCCTCTCTGGTGTGTGTAGTCCTTTCATGAACAACCAGGGAGCTGTTCTGACCAAAGCTTTTGTTACATTGGGAGCATTGATATGGCTTTTCATCAGTGTGGATCCTCTCATGCATAATTAGCTGTGATCTACAATCTGTGCTTTTCCCACAATAGGCACATCTGTGGATCATTTCCACCACTGACATTCTTGGATTCTCAAGGACGTAAAAAATGCTCTGAATCCCTTGGTGGATGGAGTTTTGATTCAAGCTACTATTTGCATCCTCACAGGGCGAGGCCTGTATTGTGATCTGCCTTATCTGGCTGTCCAGGTGAGCTTTTCCTTCCCACTGACTTCCAGCTATTTCCCTCTTTTTCTGAGCTAGGAAATTAACCCCCTTGATATTTGGATATATTTTTTCTACATACACTTATTTTCTCCAGTTCAAAACTCTTTTCCTGGTTTTCTCTTCCTTGCTGTTACCTGCTGGGGAAGAACAAGAGTTTTGGGGTTTTCCTTGTCTATCACCTGATGGGATTTTGATTGCTGCCTTGGTTTGCTTTGCATTTTAATGCAGCGTGTGATTCTCAGTTCTCCACAGTGCTTTCTTTAGCCTGTAAGTTTCACATAAAAGGGTTAGTTTAATTATGGTTTATAAAATAGCTACATAGCATTTGAAAAAAAAAAAAAAACAAGAGCAAAAAGCATGTATATTACAATAAAACATGCCAAAGATGCCAAAATGCTTTTTTAATCTCTTACATTATGATTCATTTTCAATATACATGTCTAGTGAGATCAATGTTCAAATACCCACATAATTGGGAAATTTACTTACTGAATTCATAGAACTGCAGAGTTAAATATATCTGGAAGTGCTGGGGACAGATCATACATATACACATATATGTGGGCACACTCACACTTTTCGATCTAAATGTAAAACTATGGGATTAGGTGGGTAGGTGGATTAACAGGTGAAATGTTCCCAAAAGCCTCGGTAAGATTTAAAGAACCATTTTTGCTCATGGAAATCCACCACTCCAAATAAGAAATAGGCAAGAAATACTGTCCACAACCACACAGATGATAACCCAATTCAGGTAGTCCTCACTTACCAACAGCCATTGGGACTAGCAAGTCCAATCCTAAATGGCGTTGTCATTCAGTGAAACACCGTGGTCTGCTCAGTGCAATGTAACATGACTGTGACTTACAACTTTCTGTCAATTTCCAATTCATTTCGTTTGTTAGAAGTCAGTGGTGTATGTTCCAAATGATGAGTCCGTGACTGTGGGACAACACTGCCATTGTAAATGCAAGCCAGCGTCACCACCACATAACTCTGATAACCGCAACTTTGAGAAATACTTTAAAGTCTTCTTTTTAGCACCACCGTAGCTTTGTAGACTTGAGTGGTAAGTGATAAGGTAGGTCTACCTATAAAACCAAACATCCCAAATGGACTCAATAAGATTGGACTTAAGCATAGTACATAAAATCACATGTTACAACGTCTTACCAATTAATGAATATTTCAGCTTTAACCACAACACAAGAGCACACAACAGATATAAACTTAATGTAAACCACTCCAAACTTGATTGCAGGAAGTACGATTTCAGCAACAGAGTCGTCAATGTCTGGAACTCACTACCTGATTCTGTTTTCACCTGTTCAAACCCCCACTCCTTTATCCTCAAACTAACCTCTATTGACCTCGCCCCATTCCTAAGAGGTTTGTAAGGGGTGTGCATACAATCATGCCTACCATCCTGTCCCGTTGTCCTCAATTATTAGTTCCTATTTCTTATATTTAAACTTGTGTTTATTCTTTTTTTAAAATAAATTTTATTGATTTTACAATTAAAACAGACCAACAACACATACATAAATGTAAGAGAGAAAAAGAAAAGAAGAAAATAGAAAGAAAAAGATAGAAAACGATTAAAAACATTTTTATCTTCAACAGTTTGTGAGACCTCCTTTTTATCCTTATTTTATGCCATATACACACTTAATCCTTACATATATCTGTATATCACTACTATGATTCTATCCTATCCTCTTTTGCCTTTTAGTGTGAAAACTATCTTTGGTCTATCCATTTGTACCAGCAGTTCCAGCTGTTGTAGTATATTGAAGTGTCTTTATCTTTTAATGCCAAGGTTAGTTTGTCCATTTCTGTACAACTTGAAAATTTTTGAATAATCATCTCCTCTGATGGAACATGAGGCTGTTTCCAACATTGTGCAAAAGTCAATCTGGCCACTGTCAAAATATGTATTATTATATATTTCACTTTTTTGGGTATTTGTTTATCAAAGATCCCTAATAGAAAGGAATCTGGTTTGAATTCGATCTGTCCTCTTGTCATTTCCTCCAGCCAATTTCTAATTTTCTGCCAATATTTTTGAGCTTCTGTACAAGACCACCACATATGGAAGAAAGTTCCCTCTTTTTTTTTTTTTGCATTTCTAGCAATTTGAACTCATATTGGGGTACATCTTCGCTAATCTCAAAGGAGGAAGGTGCCATCTATAGAACATTTTATAGGCATTTTCTTTGTATGGTACCAACTTTGTAATTTTATTACTTTTATCCCAGACCTTTCCCCATTCTGTTATGGTGATACTACGTCCTATATTCCTACTCCAAGCTATCATGTTCCCTTTTACAATTTGTTCTTCTAATTCTACTTCTAATAAATAATTATACAATTTTGTTATTTTTTTTTGCCTGATCCTAATAAAATTTTATCTAATTGCTGGAGTTTATTGTTAATTCCAAATTCTTTCTTGTCCTGTTTATATCTACTTTGAATTTGAAGATATGCCCACTGATCAATTTTTAATCCCCGATCTTGAATGTCTTGCCCCGATTTCAGATTTCCTTGCGTATCCAATAGGTCCTTATATTTTAATCATTTTAGTAATATCCAGATTATTTGGATAAATCGCCTCCATTGTTGAGATCCAAATTGGTATTTTTAAATAGTGTATTTTCTTCCAATTAGTCAATAATGAATCTCTGATTAGGTGTCTGTGAAAAAATTTCTGGCTAGTTTTCCCAACATCCCATAAAAAAGCATGCCACCCCCTCTGTAAGTCATGGTCTTCTAAGAATAATATTCTCTTATTGGTTAAATTCACCCATTCCTTCAACCATACTATGTTCGCAACAGAATACCCTACACCACCAGATTTGAGATTCTAGGCTTAGACAACCTTGAACTACACCAACTGGACTTAAGCATAGTACATAAAATCATATGTTACAACATCTTACCAGTTAATGAATATTTCAACTTCAACAACAAAAGAGCGCACAATAAACTTAATGTAAATCACTCCAAACTCAATTACAGGAAGTGCGATTTCAGCAACAGAGTGGTCAATGTCTGGATCTCACTACCTGATTCTGTTGTCATCTTCTCAAACCCCGACTCCTTTACCCTCAAACTAACCTCTATTGACCTCACCCCATTCCTAAGAGGTCTGTAAGGGGTGTGCATAAGCGCACAATGGTGCCTACCATCCTTGTCCTATTGTCTGCAATTATTAGTTCCTCTTTCTTATATTTAAACTTGTGTTTATTCTTATTTCTATTGTATTGTAAGCTTTTGACAAGATAAATAAAATAAATAAACTTTTTTTTAATATGAGTGAAGCACAGTTGTGCCACATTAATCCATGGACGGAAGACCACCAAGAAATCCCATTTTTGTTTCCTAGATATGGAATTAAAAACAAAATTCCTGAAGGCAGCAGTGGCGGATCAGTTCCAAATTGTTGCCCAGAAAAAATCATGCCTATACAATTACAAGGAATTAACTCTAACATAAAGGAGACTAATAAAACCTCCCAACACAGAAAAAAATTCAGGAATCAATTTTAAAGCATGCATCAGCAAGGGAATACACTCTGGGGAGGGAAGGAATATGTAGCAGCTGACATGTTTCAGCCTTGTTGCTTTTTTGCTTTTACACCCTGGGGAAACCGAAACAGCCCGACTTGATTCCTGCCTCTCCTCCACCTGTGCTCAGCTCACCTTTCAGTTGCCTCCAACATCTCAGCGGAGAGTCGGAAGAGGAAGCTCTCCAGCTGTTGTTCTCCTTCTCTCCTCCAAATCCTCTCTAGGAATCTACTGTTCGAATGTTTCAACTCCTTACACCTCAGTAACCGATGCTGTACTTGCAGTGAAAGTTGTCTAGCGCGGCCGTTGCATATCTATGGTGCGCCATCTAGTGGCATAAAGCTGAAAACCAGGATGTTCTATCTCTACCTAAGGCAGTAGTAGCAATATCTTTTTAAATTGATTATGCTCTGTCAAGTCGACTCAAGTCGGATCAAATGGATAGACTTTCTCCATGATTGTTCCTAACTTGCTCATTCAGGCTTCCCGAGGCTTCACTCATCACCACAGAAACAGAGCAAGAAGTTCCCCATGAAAGAAGCAAGAACTACACAAAGAAGAGAGCCAGGGAAGACTATATGCATACAGCAGTCAAAGTGTACCTCCTTTAAGAATCAGTCAAGACTGTTCCAGCCAAGCAGATGGGCTTTGGTAAGAAATTGAATAAAGCCATAGAAGCTATATATCATAAACAAACTGCAAAGGTAATGATAAATGGGGAATTGACAGATTTTATTGATATAAGAAAAGGGACTAGACAAGGTTGCCCACTGTCGCCTCTGTTGTTTGTGTTAACATTAGAAGTGTTGAACAGAAATGTTAGAGAAGAAAAAGATATAAAAGGAATGAAAATTAAAAAGGAAGAATATAAATTGCAAGCATTTGCAGATGACCTGGTTTTTATTTTAGAGGATCCATTAGAAACAGCACCCAAATTGATAGAAAAGATAGAGGAGTATGGAAAGGTAGCAGGCTTGAAAATAAATAAAGATAAAACAAAGATATTGACGAAGAATATGCTAGTAAGACAAAAGGAAGAATTGGCTGAAGCTCTGAAGATCCAGGTCACAAATAAGGTTAAGTATTTAGGGATACATTTGATAGCAAGATGCAGTACACTCAGAGGAAAATTACCACAAACTCAAACAACAGATTGCGATAGATTTGGCCAAATGGGAAAATTTACAATTATCACTAATAGGGAGATTACCAACAATCAAGATGAATATATTACCTAGAATTTTATACTTGTTCCAGACAATTCCAATCAGGCTAGGGAAAGATTATTTTGAAGATTTAAATAAAATAGTGTTGAAATATATTTGGCAGGGAAAGAAAGCAAGAATAAAACTAAAACTGTTGCAAGATGCTAAAATAAGAGGAAGATTTGGCCTGCCTAATTGGGAATTATACTACCAGGTGACAAACTTGACGTGGGTAAAGGAATGGATAACACTAAGAAACATTAGATTATTGACATTAGAAGGACATGATTTGCTGTTGTGATGGCATGCTTTCTTATGGTACAAGGGAACTAAAACACAGGTATTTTACAAAACACTATATACAAGAGGCATTGTTATTAAATTGGGAGAAGATTAAAAAGCAATATTATTTAAAAATTCCAGCCCGGTTATCAACTATTGAAGCATTTTCATATCCAATAACATATAAAAAGGAACAAACAGTTTGTTATGGTAAGATACTGAATGGAAAGGGTGAACTTAAATCTATGAAAGAACTAGAAGAACAAGGTATAAGGATGAATTGGTTTTCATATGTGCAAAATCACTCTAGATAAAGATTTTAAAACAGAAGGTTTTTATGATAAATTGACTGACAGATAAAATTTTGACAGGTACTGATGAAAAGATAATTTAAAAACTTTATGGACATTTACTAGAGTTTAAGCTAGAAGAAGAGCAAGTTAAAGAAACAATGATTTCTTGGGGGGGAAATTTTGGATATGGGATTGATTTAGAGAAATGGCAAAAAGTGTGGTCTCAAAATTATAAAATGACAATGTCAACAGCATATAAAGAAAATTTGTATAAGAAGTTTTACAGATGGCACCTACCCACAATGAGAATCGCGAGAATGTTTAAGAATAAATCTGAAAAATGTTGGAAATGTCATCAAATACTGGGTTCATATTACCATATGTGATTGACGTGTGCAGATGCAAAAAGATATTGGACTAAAATCCACACATGGTTGGAAAAAATGACAAAACAATACATAGACTTTAAGCCAGAGATATTTTTATTGGGGATCTTACCGGAAATATACAATAGGGAACTGAAATATTTGATTGTAAATGTATTAAAAGCGGCTAGAATTGTATTTGCTAAATATTGGAAAAATGAGAAAATGCCAACGCAGGAGGAAGTTATTAAGAAAATTATGGAATGTGCTGAAATGAGTCATTTGAAATTAGAGAACAAGAAGATAAACCATTTTATAAGATATGGGATTTATTTTATCAATGGTTAGACAAAAAGATAGGGAAATTAAATATGTCAGAAAATTTTACAATATAAGAATAATAGAATGATATAGAATATAATATAAAAATGTTCTACCATTGGATGAATGTATAATATAAATTTACCTAAAATTTAGAATATCTCGTATAAAATGATGGAATAATAGTTTAGTCAAATAAATGATTAATAACTGATAATAAGGTATACATATATATTAGATTGATAATATGAGAACTTATATAAATTGTGAGGACTACGGAGAGGATAAACAAAAGATTTGTAACCAACAGACACACTGTATGTATGTAACTTGAAGATGGTTCTATGTTTTATGTTTTGTTTTTGTTTGTCTAAAAATAAAAAAACTTAAAAAAAGACTTTTCCAGCCAACTATTGATTGATTGATTGATTTGATTTGATTTGTCAATCGCTTACAAGATAATAGATATAAGAATAAACACAAGTATGAATACAGGAAATAGGTACAAATAAATGGGGACAATAGGACAGAGATGGTAGGCATGATTGCACACTTATGCAAGCCCCATATTTGTTGTGGGGTGTTTGTGCGCAGGACAACTCATGAATGCTTAGTTTTGCAAGAGACAGGAACTTGAAGATGGAAGCTTAACCCTGCTTAGCTTTTCAAAATTAACTAAGTTCTGGGCGTTAAAACCTCATCAAGCACTTATTCATTTGTGTGCAGAGTCGCTAAGTTATTGCCAGTTTGCTAGCCTGATTCCATTAATAGAATAATGGAACATGCAACATTAATTCCCTATCTGTATTATTGGGGAGTGAATCTCGCTAGAGCAGTCTTCCCAATTTCTGGAGTAAGAATTCAGAGCTGAGTATTCCTGAGCAGAATATTTGGAGGGTGTTATTTTGCAGATTGGAAGCCGATCAATAGATTCCTGCACTTTTGTAGGGGTTTGGCTCTCAGTAGAGATGAATACCTCTCTACATCTTAAACTTTTATGATGTGGTTCCCATGGAATTAGCACCTGGGAGCATCAACAGGCCAGAGACCTCAAGGGAGCAAGCTTCATTCATGCAGGCCAGACTGCAACTAAGCACATCCCGTGTCAGTTTTCTTTCTAAAGGAAGAAAATTTAAGCCTGCTAAGTGCCATGTGCTTCTTGCACAGAAGTCTCCATTAGAACAAAGCTGAAGAGAACATACACAGCAGAGTCTAGAAAAAGGGCGGTTAGAAAAATGGGGTGACTGCCTATATACAGCAAAAGAAACATACTCTCCAAAGTGACATTACAGTTAAAGAATTATAAAAATACATGCAAAAATCTATGAAAGGTTGCCATACTCTTTGTTTGAAATGCATACCTTTTTAAAATTTGAAGTGTTTAATACACAAAACAAAATCATTTTACAAACAGGATTAGACAAAACACCTCTGTAATTCACAAAAGATAATAAAAAGTTGTGGGGGAGCGGGGAGACCTGCAAGATTTTCTTATTACCTTCACTCTCAAATGTAAAAAAAATGTTAGAATTTTCCTGTGGACTTGATCACTTGGTCTTGGCCTGAGGGACCTTTCATGGCTGAGGAGGGACTGGCACTTGGGTGTCCCCATTGCTAGTCCAGCAACAGCACCTTCCCCATGCAGCCCACCAGCTCTCTAATAGGAAAGCCATCCAGAGAGACTCCCTGCTGCACATTGGTCTCCTCCCCATCAACTGCAGGAAGGAGAAGCCTGCAGGGTGGTGGTGAATGAACGTGGGTAGTCCTCGCTTAGTGACCACAACCGTGACTGACAATTCTGGCAAACCACTTTATTGCAACAGTTTTTGACCTCATTTCTCTTCTGGTCATTAAGTGAATCAATATGGACATTAAGCGAGACATCAAATGACTGCTACTTTTGGTTTTATTTATGTCTTCTACATGAGCTTTATCTTAAGCTTGTTGGGAAGCATGCCAATGACCACCACAGGATCGGGGGACAATGTGATGGTTGTAAATGCAAAGATTGTTTGCCAAACTGTTTTTTTATGTATCATCATAATCTTGAATGGTTGTTTAATGAGGCAAATGGTAAGTGAGGACTATCTGTATTATCCCCAGGAAAAAAGCCATTTGCACTGAATGTCATTTGCTGGAAGCATCGTGGGGAGGAAATAATCATTCTCCTATCCAGCTGGTGGGTTACCCAGAAGGATTGTGGTGAGATATTTCTGCTCTGGGAGATCCCCTTCCTCTGGGACTGATGGAGGCATTTGGGATTATGAGCGCATACAAATGGATGGCTCTCTCCCAAATGGAAGGGTTTGGGAGTCTAAGCATTTCCCAGGATGCCACAGTAAGCACAGCTTAAACACTTCTTAAAAACTCCCTTGCCATGGTTCCTTCTGAGCCTTCTATTCAATAGTCTACTTATTCTAGCTCCCTCAACTGATCATCATATGATTTAGTGTCCAGATCCTTTATCATCATAGTTGCTCTTCTTTGCACTTTCCAGGGTCTTAATATTTTTTTTTTGTATTGTGGTGACCAGAACTGGATGCAGTATTCTAAGTGTGGTTTCACTAGCATACTGTGAAGCAGTACTATTCCTTCTTGTTGTCTTGACACAATCCCTCTGTTGATGCAGACGAGAAATTAGAAAAATTTGGTTGTGCACAGAAATGGACAAATTGACACAAGAATTAAAAAATAAGGACGAATCTGAATACTATAAAATATGGGAAAAGTTTTACCACTGGTTGGA